CAATTTTCAGTGTTGCCATAAAGTCTCACTGAATTGTCAATAACTAGAGCACTACCAAATTCAGGGTCCATTTTGGTCAATTTCACGATCATAGGATTTTTAAAATAATAAATTTCACGATTTCAGCTATTTAAACCTGAAATTTCACAGTGTTGTAACTCCTGACCCAAAAAGGAGTTGTGTGGGGGTCACAAGGATATTGTAGGGGGAGGCTGGTACTGCGACCCTTACTTCTGCACTGGAGCAGTGGTTGCTGGCCAGGAGTCCAGCTCTGAAGGCAGCACTACTGCCAGCAGCAGCACATAAGTAAGGGTACGGCTACGCTACTCGCCAGATTGGCGGGTAGTGATCGATCTATCGGGGATCAATTTATCGCATCTAGTGTAGACTCGATAAATCCCCGATCGCTCTGCCTTCGACTCCTGTACTCCACCGTGGCAAGAGGTGGAAGCAGAGTCAACGGGGGAGCGGTGGCAGTCGACCCCTGCGCCATGAGGATGCGAGGTAAGTTGACCTAAGATACGCTGACTTCAGCTACGAGAATAGCATAGCTGAAGTCAACGTATCTTAGGCCGATTCCCCCCCGCCGCAAAAAAAGGGTAGACCAGGCCTAAGAATGGCATGATACAGTATTGCCACCCTTACTTTTATGCTACTGCCTGCAGTGCTGGGCCCTCAGTCAGCAGCTACTGCCCAACTGCCTTGCAATACCACGACACCCCTTCCTTTCCCACCCACCCCAAAGTAACCTTGCAATGCCCTTTTGGGGCAGGTCCCCCAGTTTGAGAAACACTGGACTCCACCTTGAAATCTGTATAGCATATGGTAAAAACACACAAGACCAGATTTCACAGTCCATGATGTGTTTTTCATGGCCATAAATTTGGTAGCGCCCTATCAATAACTTTGTATAGAAATAGTCATAGCATACAACACAGCTGTGTAGTCTGAGCATCAACAGTATACAGCAGAACAAAACCCAACTTATCTAAAGAGACCCTCCCAAACAGACTACAAGAAACTTCATGTATCTACAGTAAAAGGCTGAATGACTATGTTGATCCTGTTGTAACTTTAACTTCCAGTTCCAAGGAACCTGGGAACTTCAATTCTGAAGCTGTGAACAAGTAACTATCCATAACACTCACCTCTATCCTCTCCTAACATTAATGCACATGTACTTATGTTTTAAACTACTGTTAGAGCAAGAAGATTCGAAGCTGAAGCTGCCACTCCAGCCTTCCTTTGGAGTTTCTTGGCTTTTGTTAGTTACATTATTAGCTATTTGAATGAATATTTTCTTTTTAGTGGAGTGTTTAAATAGTGGCTCAGGGAAGGCTGTTTTTCCATTAGAGGCTCCTAAAAGTAAAAACCCCTCATTTAACAATGCATTTTGTTAACAAGATGACAATTCTCACCATTTCTCATCCACTCTTCCCCATGCAGTATAGTTTTGCTACCACAGATCTTTACTTCTTGGTCAGTTATGTTTCTGTAGAACAATTAGGAGGTTTCTGCCAGAGGATGGTCTTAGTATTTTCAAAGTACTTATTATTCATTTATCAGACACCAGATGTACATCAGTTAATATACCACCACCACTACGTGGCCATCAATTAGTACTTCAATAATGAAATGCTACAAATATATTACTAAATTTCATAGATCTATATTTGAAGCTGTAATGTAAATGAAACATTTGCCATTTTACAAAGAAGTCAGAGTGAAGTTTTATAGAAGAGGATGACCATCACAGGAGGAGCTCCATTGCTCATGTAATAAACTTTAAAAAGTACCCCAGAAAACGTTTTTATGTAGAAAACACATACATCTAAAATAAAAAGAAGAAGAATGCAAGATGGCTTACTCCTCCCTTGGAATTTAACCTGTATTAAGTGGGAGCTCCAGCTCCTGAACTGCCCTTAGCTGGTTGCTGGAGAGTACGGAGCACACACTTTGAAAACTGTAACACCACTCTTGTCATAGTCTTACTGCATGTGGTTGTGCTTTGGTAGGAAATTGTGACAAAGAACTTTAAGAACACTTAAAAGAGTGAATGAATTTCACTACAGTTATCACCAGACATCCAATAAGTCTGTTCTAAACTAAAGCACTATGGGCCAAATTTCCTTCCTTTAAAAATATCTGGCCCTTCATGCTGAACAAGTATTGTTTCAAAGGGTAATCGTCTACCCCATTCTGGATTTTACACTGATAGTTACATTTGTTATTTAGGACATCCACTAGTAGACAGAAGAATTTTGCAAGCACTACAGGAGGTCCAAGTGCTAATGAGGAGATTTTTGCATTTCCGCTCATTGTCCCTCCCCCTTCTCCAGAACATGCATGCCTTTCTAAAACACTCATTCTATTAAATTTAAATATTCTGTTCTTTGCTCCTCTAACAACCTTATCAAAAAGCTGAACTAGAAAACAAATCAATCAGAATTACATTGGCATAAAACTCTAGTAGCCTAGTTGTCGCTACAAAATAGAACTAACACTTCCTAATGCATCCAGTTTTTCAACCAACTGAAAAGATATTTATTCAGCAGCATCCATGGAATTTTTTTGCACTCATTCAGTCTTCAGGCAGGGATCTTATCTCCAAAAGTAGTACAGAATCAACAAAAAAAATAACTAGAAGGGAGTAAATCATCCTGAACAATGAAGTTAATGGAAAATTCCACTGAGGCATCATGCTAAGCTCTAAAGAGGAAAGGGAAAGAGAGGAGTGCCATTTTCCAATTTTAAGTTAAGTCAGTCCAAACTGACACATTGTCACTATTTTAGGACAGACAGACATTTCAGCTATATGTTGAAAAATGTGTGTCTTCACAACTAACGTCTTTAAGAAACTATAGTCAAAAATAACTATATTATTTTAAAAAAATTAGTTTGGTAATATCAAAACTCCTTTGTAATACAAATATATAGCTATAATCTTAACCAGGAGTATGTAGACAAGTATGAACACATTTGCCAAAACTGATTACTTCCTTTGAAAGTTTATTTTTCCCGCTACATCATATTGTCTTCTTCCAACACCTTTTAATGGTTTTCTACTTCTACAATGGAGTATTCAGAGCATTGCTAATGCTACACCAATATCTTGTAGACAAGTCTGTCCTCTTTACTGTTAACACCATCAAAATGAATACTTAACTCCAGAAGTAAGATTCCTTACTGTCAGGACTTAAGTACAGTAAACTTGACTATCTAAATATTCTCTGGTTTCAGAATAGTCTGTATTCGCAAAAAGAAAAGGAGGACTTGTGGCACCTTAGAGACTAACAAATTTATTTGAGCATAAGCTTTCGTGAGCTACAGCTCACATTGCATCCGATGAAGTGAGCTGTAGCTCACGAAAGCTTATGCTCAAATAAATTTGTTAGTCTCTAAGGTGCCACAAGTCCTCCTTTTCTTTTTGTAATTGTTCTCTGCATTCCAACAAACCTCTTCAAATCTTTAAAAATACAGTTCTACATGTTATTTGGTTTTTAAACTTTTGAAAAAAGTATATAACGATTCCCCATCCCCTCAAGCCAGTTTACCATGTATTCCAAAATTTTGATCAGCTATAAACTTGAGATTCAGGGACTCTTTAAGACTGTTTCTAATTTCACTATATGTGCATTCAAGTTTTAGGGGAAATCCGTTACCCAAACTATTTAAGTCTATAAAAGTAGTTTGTGCTGTGGAAAGCATACATCCCTCCCCCCACAACCACCCCTCTTCTCCACAAAAAAGTAAATGAGACAAGGTGGGTGAGAGAGACCAACAGAAGTTGGCCCAATAAAACACTCTCACTCACCTTGTGTCTCTAATATCCTGGGACAGACAGGGCTACATATGCATATTTAACACACACACACACACACACACACACACACAGAAAAGCTATACACATTCCCTATCTCACAGGTCTGACCAGAAGGCAGATTCACAATCATACTCTTTGTCTAGGTGTACTAATTTCTCCACCATAGAAAAACAAGAATTTAAAAAATGCACAACCATCTTTTGAAGTAAGCAATGAAACCCAATGACAATTTTTCACCTACAGTACTTTTTGGTTAGCAAAAATAGGTGTTAGATCTCTGAAGTCAATACTTCTTCCTCTGAAATATTTATATTTACAATACCAAGTGAACTGTTAAGAACACTGGTTGGTCTTCTAGCAGTGCAGAGCCAATGAAACAGTAAGTTTATAGATTAGTGCTCTTAGACAATCAAGAAAAAAAAAGAAACCATCTCCAACTGAAACCAAATGGAAGTGGAAAAAGGTTTAGAACTCCTCTCTTCCTCCCTCCCTCCCCCCTTTGATTAAGGCAGGAGAGTGCAGTTGAGATGGGAAGCCTCCCAAACAGGACAGTCTGAAGCAAACCAGCACATTCTCCCTGCCAACCACTAAACCGGTTTCTGGGAAAGAACTTTTAAAAGCTTATCCGGCTTTCAGGCCCATTCGGAAGTGCTTGTTCTGAACGCAAATATCCTCTCCCAGGTTACCACAGCCAGCGTTACACAAAAGACACTCTGATGTTACACTTCTGTTTCTGACAGGAAAATTAAGACACGCTAACCAGCTCCCTCCCACCCCCTCGAATATTTCCGACTCGATTTCCCAGGGCTATCAGCGATCGCTAGCCGAAGGGAGAGGACTCAAGAGGAGCCGCCGGCTGGTGCGAACAGAATCCAGGCACGGGCAGAGTAGCCGCCGCCAGCCCTCTCCGGGTGCAGGCGGCGGTAGCCTGGAGCCCCAGAAGGGCGAAGGGACTCCATGGCACCCGACGGGAAGAGCTGGGAGAAGGGGCCCGAGGCAGAAGGGCGAGCGGGCGTCAGCCCGGGGGGAGGCTTCTCAGGCGGGGGAGCGCGGACAGCTCCAGGAGCGGAGGGAGGTGGGGGACGGGGCGCGCGGGAAGGGGCAGCCCCGAGGGGAGTGAAATCCCGGCCGGCCGGCCGACGCCGGGGGGCGGAACTGGCGCGGGCGGGTTGCTCACCTCGTCGTCGTGGTGCTGGCAGTAGCTGGCCCGGTCCGGGAAGACGGAGGCGAGGATGCTGTAGGGCGTGGCGGGGTACGGCTGGCCCAGGGCGAGCGGGGCGGCCGGCCCGGGGGCGGCGGCGGCGGCGGCGCCGGGCGCCCCGCCGAAGCGCTCGATGAAGTGGTCCTTGGTGAGGCGGACGCGCTGGTGCGCCCGCACGCAGTTGTCGCACAGGTGCTCCTGGCAGTCCAGGCAGCGGGAGCTGGCCGCGTTGCCCTCGTCGCAGGAGCTGCAGCGGGGCTCGCCCTGCCGGCTGTGCGGCCGCCGGAGCAGCAGCGAGGACGAGCCGCCCCCGCCGGAGGCGGACGGGGACGGGGCGGCCGCAGAGGCGGCGGCGGCGGCGGCGGAGCCGCTGCCGGCCGGGCGGTGCTGCTGCTGCTGCTGCCGGGGGTGGTGGTGCCGGTTGTTGCCGCCGCCGCCGCCTCCCCCGCGGCCGTTGTTCTTCTGCTCCTCGGCGGCGGCGGCCGCCACCACCACCACGTCCAGCAGGTTGCTGAGGAGGAAGTTGGAGGAGGGCAGCGCGTCCATGCCCGAGGGCTCCGAGATCACCACCTTCTGGTCGCAGATGGGGCAGCGCAGCTTGAGCGCGTCCCCCGCGCCCGGGTGCTGGCGCTGCGCCTCCAGGCACTGGCGGCAGAAGGCGTGCAGGCAGGGCAGGACGTGCAGGCGGCGGGACGGGGCGCAGGACGAGCCGCCCGCCGAGGAGGAGTTGGAGGTCTGCGAGGAGGAGGAGGAGGTGGAGGAGTTGGAGGAGATGGGAGCCGGCGAGCCGCACATCTCCTTGCACAGCGGGCATAGCTGGAAGTCCGCCTCGGGAAACGAAGCCATTTGCAAGCGGCCTGGCTGCCGGGGGCGGGGGCACGAGCCGCGGGGTGCAAGCGCCTCAGCAGCAGGGACTCATGGAGGAGCCGGGTTGCAAATCGCCTGGCATCGATTATTAGTCGGTGTCTGCAGGAAGCCGGGTCCTCGGAGCGCCTCGCCCCCGGGGAAGGTGGGGGGCGCTGGGTGCGGTTGTCCCGTTCGCTGCTTGCCAGTGGAGTCCGCCTTCCCTACCCGTACTTAGCTTCCAATCCCGGTTCGCATTGGACAAATTGTATCGAGTCCCCAAAACTAGTCACTGGCTGACACAGAGTCTCTGCCTGTTTCCCCCGGGATGGGCAGTTCGACAACGTGGTTGGTGACTATGTTCTTCTTCAAGTGCATGGGCGCCACTCCTGTAATCTCCCTCCCCCCCAATCCAGTGTGAACTGGACCGAGCGCTGCGGGAGGTTCGGCTCCGATTTCCGCAGCAGCGGGAGAATAGCGTCGGGGGGTCTGCGGGGCAAGCCCCCCCCCCGACCCTGAGGGGCTGCTGGGCGGCGAGGCAAAGGGCTTACAATTTAGCTCCTCTCGTTGGGGAGGGGGGGGGGAAGAGGAAGGAGAGAAATATTTTGTTTCGGTTTTCCCCCTTTTGCGGCTCAGTCCAGCTCTAGGAGAGGCAGAGACACTGAAACACAGTGGACAAGCAGACTCCTCCGGCTCCAGTCCTCCCCCGCCGACGCCTGCTCCACCACCGCATGACTGGGGGATGGGGATGGAGGGCGGTGTTGGTGCCGGACCCCCCCCGCCCCGGGAGACACTCAGGCTGGCGGGATGCAATAAAGAGAGGCACCCAACACTGCAGCGAGATCGCTTCGATGCTCCGCGGCCCCGCTAAGCGCGTTCTCCCCAGCCCTGGATCGCTCCGAGCCGCTGCCCGCACGCTCCCCTGGGCTGGCTCTGCTCCCGCTCCGGGTCAGCCCCAGACCGGCTCGCTCCAGCACGCGGTCTCCCCTCTAGACTCGCAGCCCGGGCAGGCTCGGGGTGGCTTGCACACGCTGTAGCAGCAGCGGTAGCCGCCGGGTAGAGTAGCAGCGGCAGGTCCCCGCCGGCCGCCCTGAATTATTCATGGGGGGTGTATTATATTCGCTTGCACAAATTGGAGCCGCTGTGCAATGCTATCCGAGAGTCCCACGCTCACCCCCCTCCTCTCCGGTGCTCGCTCGCTCGCCTGCCTGAGCCTCTGCAACGACTGGGATCACATTTCCTTTGTCATCTCGCCTCTTCGTGTGGTGTTTTATTAGGAAACAAAAGTAAAAAAAAAAAAAAAAAACAGCTTCCCCCGCAATTTGCACGACCAAATCCACGAGCAATTGGCACCGGGTTTGAATTAGCAACAGCGGCAGCAAAGGCAATTACTCACTCAGCAGCAGCAGAATCCCAAGTGATACAGATAATGTTGGATTCCAGCAGAGCCATCGCACGGGGGGGGGGAATGGGTGGCTTCTCCCCTTCCCCTCTTTGTCGCGGTGGGGGTTTGGAGTGGTTGCTTTCCCCTCAGGTTGAGTTTGAGAGCATGGCTTTTGCAGGGGCTCCGGGCAGCTCGTGCTTTGGGTACGCGCCCTCTCCTTTTCCCTCTCTCTGGACGCCTGTTATTGAAACTGATCAGAGTTCGGAATCCTTTTAATCTCCAAAGGAGCGAACTCACTTCCGCCTGAGCTCTGAGGGGGTGGCTAGGGGGAGGGGGGTCTAAAGGCAAACAGGAAACATTAACCCTCTTACTATTGCTGGCTTTTCTGTGCTGCCTCTTGCCCTAGCAGCCGTGGATTCCTGAATCTTCTAGTAATTCGGCTTTTTAAGACTGCGAGGGCTGCTTATAGTATTTTAAGGATTCCAATGCTTTGTCTGACCGTCTTTATATTAATTAGTCCTTTTATAACTGCGAGATACGTTTAACATGTACGAATTGTAATTATTTTACTTTTTGTCTTTTATACGTGTAATCATGTGATTCTCATTTGTAAAGAAGGAGCGACTTGATGTTAAAACCTATTGCGAGGACAATTATACAACTTTGATTAAATTTTGAAAACATCTAATTAAAAATATAGTTCTAAGCCTTAAATCACTCAGTTTAAATAACACCTCTTGTTATGTCCTGGACAACTATTTATTGACTAAACCCCCATATCTGTGATCCAGTTTAAAATTAAAACAACAAGAAATCCTGTATCAAAATGTAATGGGTGGGTGAAAGGATTCTAGGATTAGTATTTAAGAGCTCTTTAAGAAGATAAGTAAATACACAAAGCTAGCCTTAATGTAATATTAAGATTGCAGAATAATTTTTTTTAAATAAAGGTTTAGTGTTTTAACCAAGCTCTCAAAAGGCAGGAAATTCCAAGAGTTAAAGTTGCTGCCTCACTGTTAACTCAGCTAGGTTGCCTATCCTCTGTATATATGGTGTTCTTTAATGCACCATACATGAACAGATACATGATGTTTTAGAAATAATAAGGGAAACAGAAACTACTGAAGAGACTTAAAAAATGAAAATGAGGTAGGGTTAGAGTTAGAAATGAGCTACAAAGCCCGAAAGGGTAGAAAGATATAAATGAAAATATGAGGAAAGTGCTCAAACTGTCAAAACATGACATAAATAGGGTATGAAACAAACAGCTAAAAGGCAAAAGCTAATAAAATAAATGAGCAAAACAGGAAAAAGAAAAACAGGGTAAAAGGACTGTATATCATTCTTCCTCCTCTTTTAGCTCTGTCCTGCAAATATTTATTCACATGCTTTCCTTTTGTGCCAAGAAGTAAGCACATGTTTAAGTATTTGGAGAACAGGGGCCTTACTCTGTATGGTCCCGGATGCTGCAAAGAGATTTGCAAATGAGGACCTTTTCTCTTGCACAGTCTCATTGACAAGAGTAGGACTCCCTGAGAACATAAAAGTCCACACATACAGATCAGACTATGGGAGTGGGCTGTAAAGTTGATGGGACTGCTCACGTGCATTTATTTATGTATAGGTACAAATGTTTACACTACAGGATCATCGCCCTAGATTGTAATATCTTTAGGGCAGGGATTTGTCATATTTTTAAAGGACCTAGCACACTTTCTGATGATATATACATTTATACTACATACTACAAATGTCCAATGTGGTTGAGGTAATACTGTAGAAGACATCCATTTTGCATTTAATTTCCTCATTCTGTTTTTGTTGTTTTGTTTCACCCAAAGGAATAAAAGGAAAAATACCAAGCTATCCATTGTGTACAGGTTAAACGCACTACAGGCTTGACCAGGGGAGATTACAAAATCATTGTGCCACAGTCAGACTTCTATTATCTGAAGTCTGGTTAACCAGAATTCTGTTATCTGAAAGTCAGTTGTGTCTCCCAAAATGTGAACAAGCTTAGGTCTACTGGACCGGCAGAGGACTCTACTACTGGGGAGCTTTTTCTGTTTAATGTAGAGCTAGTTGGCTGATTCATACTGCAAGGTGCAGTGGCTCACCAAACAGCTAACACGTGCAAACATGGTCACTTGGTTGCTCAGATAAGAGCTTCCACCAGCTTCCTCAGCGGATCTTGTCAGCTTCTTCATTCAGAAATAATCATCTAATCAGACAGAATTTCCAAGGTGGACTATTTCCATGTACAGCATACACCCCTGCGGTGCATGGTGACACTATTTGGCTTTTTCAGCTAACAAACTCGAACAAAGGAATTTTGCCCCTCCATGCTCCAAGTGCCTCTGCTAGGGTCCCGGTGTTTCACACACATTCTGTAAGCTCCTCAGCACTTATAAGATCCACTGTATTTGTGCTAAACCTTCTAAGCCTTACAGCACACAGTTTCTTCCTGTTTCAGCAACAGAGCTTGTAAACTGCTGTAAACAATTAGCTATCTACAGCGTTTCATATGCCACAACCATCACCTTCAGAGCTGAACACCTACAGTGGTTTTTTTACATTGAAATTCTACCTCCCCCTCACCCTTTAAAGATCAGATCAAGTTACTTGTTTTGATTACGGGTGGGTTTTTATTTTGAGTCCAAAAAAACATATTGAAGTAAAGCTAAACTTAGTTTTGCATTTAGTTCTAAAAGTGGTCAGATCCACACACCAGTATTAGCTAACTGATCATTCATATACACCTCATCTATCTTTAACTGCACAGCTAATAGCTTAATGGATTCTTCTGCTGAACGTGCTTGCCCCCACATTTTTGAATCAGCAAAATTTTGTTACGTTAAAAAACATTTCCTCCCCCTAATGTGTTAAATCATCTACTGTTCACTAAAACCCTCATCTTGCAAAAGTGGATGTAATAGTCTAAAGGTGATGGGTGCAGCCTACGAACTTCCACTTTCATGGGTAGAAAACATGATTAGAAACACTTTTCTATTAATTTTTTCATGGGCAGGTAATTAAAATTTGCTTGTGAAAATTGTCCTAATTTTCAGGCCATAGTCTCATTCTCTTCTGTAAGCTAAAACGAAATATTGATGCTTCTGTGTTTGTCTAGTAATGTTTCTCTGCATTCTGCTAATTCTCTTTTGGACTATTGTGCCAGTGTTCCCCCCCCCCTTTTTTTTTCTTTTTCTTTTAATGTGTTTGACTCACACTTGGACTTAAATTTTATTTTGTCCTGACTTAAATATAAATTAAAACATCATTACCAATGCTAGTTTGAGACCATGAGTTAGAATTGAGACTACGAAATAATTTATTTTGAATTAAAGTACAAATTCTAATACCTAAACAATATTAGAGTTAATGTCCATTCAGTTGGAAATCTATATCTGACAATAGCACTTGTCTAGTCCTCCATTAGTGCTGTCTCCCTGTGCTCATCATAACTGTGTCTATGAATGTTTTGTTCCGGTCCCTCTTCAAACCAGTGGAGAATAGCATGATGGGGCTGGAAAGCAACTGCACTTGAGCTATTCACTAGAATCTGCATCACATCTTGGAGCATGCTTTTGCCAATATATATGTGGAGGCTTGTTTTGATTAATGTCATCATGGAAAGCCCATGTTCTAACACTGAAGTGTTACAGGACAATTATTATTGTATTCTAATACATCCTGAAAAGCAGATTACCTGCTGGTTAAAAGCTTTTGTAAACATGAATGTGCACTGTAATTTGTTGTGGATTTGGTAGCATTTAACTGTAATTTTAGAAGCAACCACTGATATAGGGAGCTCTCCTTTTCCTCCTCCTTCAACACCTATGTAAAGCAGTCCAGCTGATTGTTAATTTGTACACTGCCATACTGGACCAATTCTTATTTTATCAACAAGGCAGTATATAGAGTCAAAGCACTGAAACCATGTACATGGTAATTGCTGTAGCCTGGGGAATCTGATCTCTGTATGTGCATTGACAGCTACAAGCATACTGATCTGATGGTTGGTTTTGTTTTTGTTTTTTGCATCTCTACCTCCAAAGACCCAGAAATGTTTACCCTGTCAAATTATCTATCTCTGGAGATAAGATTGTAGACATAAAAGGCAGGGTTGCCTTTCACTGCTTTGAGTTCTAGCATATTAGTTTTTAGCTTTTGCACAGCCTCACGCAACACAAGATCCTCTCCTGGTGAATAAGTCCATCATAAAACACAATGTGCCCACAAACCTGCTTGTCTTGATCTCCTTAAGAATGCCCC